GGAGCGGCCACTGCACTCCAGTCTGGGCGACGGAGTGAGACTCCAACTCAGAAAAAAAAGCTCTTTGTGGAAAGGGCGGGTCAGGCTGACGGGGGCCAAGAGCTGGGAGCCTATGCGTGGGCGAGAGCAGCAGGACCCTAGGGTGCGCAATGAGTGGGAGGCTCCCTCGGGAGGAGCTTGCTGGGAGCAGTGTGCCCTGAGACGGGCCGGCACGGCCAGGGCAGGCAGAAAACAGCTTGGGCTTGGACTGAGGGAGCCGCAGTACCTGGCAAGGCAGGCAGCCCCCTCGGCCGTGCCTCCTGTCACGGCTCCCGCATATTGCAGCTTCCTGGGGGCCCTGGACAGCGTTTTGCTTCCTGTGTTAGGGGATGCAGCTCAAGTTTGCCACCAACGCATTTTGAAGTGAAGCAAAGGAGGTGTGCGCCAAGATGTGGCAGAGCTTTCTAGAAGTCCTCCTCCGCCACCCGCTGCCCTCCTTCCCTCTCTGAGCCTGGCCCTGCCCTTGAGGCCCTGCCCGCCCCAGCCACTCATAGAAACCCCAAGCGCCTTCCTGGTGTGCTCACGCCACACAGATGTGTCCACTCCAGAAGCTGCCTGCCCATGCCCAGCTCCACGAATGCTGAGCAAAGGGTGTGCCAGGCACAGCCATCCAGAGTCGCAGAGCCTCTGGCCTTCTGGGAAGGTGACTAGCAGCTGACACACACGGAAAGTTCCAGATGGCCTCCGAGTCTCCGGGGAGGCCAGGTCCACAGCCAGCAGTGATGGCTCAGGGGACCCCTGTTCTCGCCCTCCGAAGCCCACAGAACCCAGACCACCCTTTGGGGAGGAGGCCTCCAGAGGACAGGTACAACAGGGCAGGCAGAGCATGACCCGACTCTTGGTCACACTAGGCTCCGGGTGAGGTGAGGACTGGTGTGCAGTGGGAATGTGCCCACTTGCTGTGCCCACCTGCAAGCCTGCCAGCTCCTCCACAAAACCAGGGCATCCGAAAACCTAATGGAGCCTGCCCTCGGCGGCATCCGACCCTCAGAGCCTCCAGCCCGCAGCCCGAGAGCTCCCAAGGACTCCCGGCCTCCCTGTCACTCTGCAGGGCAGCGGGCCACCCTGGCATTGTCTCACCTCCCAGGACGGCTTCCTGTTCTGTCCTCACAGCCCGGCCCGGCCTCAACAGCTCAGCCTCTCAGCCAGTCAAGTGGGGGCCAGGCGCCAGGTGCTTTCCCCAGGGCCGCCTTACCTTCCTCAGTCCCTCTGCTTGCTGCAGCTCTGCCCGGAGCAGGGAGGCCGAGTCTTTCTCCTGCTGCAGCGCTCGCTGGAGGGCTTGTCTCTGCTCCTTTTCTGACTTCAGCTCCTTCTCTAGACTGGAGCTGTCACCCCAAATGAGCCTGGGCTAGTTGCAGCGGAGCATGCCATGGAAGGCCCAGC